TGGTTATCAAAGATAATTTCTTGCTAAGTTATAGTTTTATATTACTGACAGAGGGAAGAAAGATCAATATAAGCACGGGTAAAATATAGGCCCATATGTGCAGACACAGCTCAAAGCTAAGTGCTGAGCATTTAAACCTTACAGATTTATTGTCAAAGTTAAGAGTCCAAGAGCTGGTACCACAGGTAAGAAAAAAAATCTTTAAATGTTAAACATGACTACATAATAAGCAATGTTCATTTCATCTCAGAGCAGTTATGTATGTCTCAAAGTGTGTGGACCTTCAGAAGCCAAGCATGAGTAGAGTAAAGGAGACTGAAATTAAGAAAAGAAAAACATTCTCACTGCACACTGTCAACTGCTGTATTAAATGAAAATAGCATTTACCGCTATAGCTGAACACTAATGGATGGCCTGGGGATTAAAGCTATGTCTTTGTGAACATCCGGGATTATTTCATTTGGATAAAGCATTCAAAAGAAAGGTCTTGAAATTCTGACTTGGGTAGGAAAAGAAAGAGAGAGAGATGCTGCTGGGTCACTGGAGTTCACACTGGGAATAATAAAGTGCCTTCAGGTCAATGTCCTTATTTCTCCCATAAAACTCTGCAGTTAGGATATTACTCAACAAAAATAACCCCTGATGAGTCTAAAAATGGAGCTATAAAAAGATATTCCCTGCCCTACAGCAGCAGGAAAGGAGGGAGGGAGAGGAGGAGGCGTAGAACCTGGGACACAGCACCAGTGGCAGCACCCTGTCTGTCATTGTGACATGTTTGTACTAAATCACAGCATATCCACAGAAAAACAGTACTCAGCACTCACAATGTTACACATCATTTCATAATATGGAAAGTGGATACAAAGCAATGTATAAAGTTAGAAACTAAAACATTTTCTACATGGATATGAAATACACAACAAAATACTAATGATAATCATCTCTGTGTAGAATTCTTTTCTTTTTGCTCATCTGGACAGATTTTCTATAACAAACATGTCATTTTACTAGGAGAAAAATTAATATAGTGTGAAAATGAAGAATAAGGAGTCAGAGCTTTAAATGCAAATATCCATGAACTAACGAAACAGAAGGAAGACACTGTCAACATTATTTCATCTTTAAGAGGGGGCGAAGTTAACCATATTGTAGAAAATGGGAAAACCTCGAAGAACCGGACAATGCAAACAGCAAGTGTTGAGGGGCAGTGGGCGGAGAAAATTCAGGGATGGACTCTTTCTTGCTAGAGTCGGACACTGAAATTGTAGATGGTGTTTAAGTTTGTGTGAGTTTCATCAAGGGAGCCAGCCGAATGCTTCCCTCCTTTCCTGGATGAAAATGGAAACAAGCTAAAATGATGGAAAGTATGGATTGAACACACTAAGGCAAACATTTCCCCCTGGAAGGTAATGGATACCATCACCTTTCCGACCCCAATCCCCGTGGTACCTACATCCTTCCAGGACCACCAGAGAACAAAGAACTGCCGCAGACACCTGCGGCCTATATGCGGAACCAAGTTTCTGGCACACAAGTTGATTGATTCTTAGGTAATTTCCAGGCAAAACCCTAATTCCCTCCAAACTTCAGGCATTTTTAAATCCATATTAATGTTCTTTCTCTAAAATCTCCTAAATGTTTTTTTTTTCTTTAAGAAAGTAGGACAAGATGAGAGTGTCTCCCTTTGGGAGGTAACCACTACAGTGCAGAATGATGTCTGCCTCTTGAGCACCAACCTCCCCAAAGTGAATTCCTCCCAGTGTTCTAGGATACAGACTGAGCTCATCTGGTCAAATAAAAAAGCTAACCACAAAGTTTTGGTCAAGAATCCCCAAACAGTATGTAAAACACATGATAAAATGATAAGAAGAGTTTCAACTAGAAATTATCTAAGAAGCCATCAACATATAGGTCAAGTGATTGATACAGGATCTGGCTGGGTGCCTTTCTAATCTCAGTTGGACCTAGAAGGGCACAGTTTCTTTTGCATTGCCTCTCAAAGGAAATGCTGAAAACAATAATGTTATTAACTTCAATAGGTGACCAGTAGTTACCCTCTTAATGGCAAATACACACATTTCCCCGCAAAACCTTCGAGCTGTGCTGTATTAAAATCCTTCCTAAGTGTTCCCTACATTCACAATATGATGGACTTCCCAGTGTACTAGAGTTTCATTCTTTAGCTTCCTAAACCGTCTGTCAGACAAACAGAAATGCACACAAATTACATTGCCAGCTCTGTCTATATCTAGCAGTGTAGAGACAAAAGGCATTTTATCCTGTGTGCCAAGCTCAAAGACAGAAGCAGCTTGCTGACAACTTGAGAAACCATTTTTTACAATCATGGCATGTCGCCTTAAGCCAACTGAACACTATAGCATGCTGGGCTGCCCACACTGCAAATTATGTGGAATGTTCTCCAAGTTTTGTGGTTACAAAAGTACTGATTTTGTGTATCATCCAGTTCAAATCAAAGACACATCTTACTTTATACCGAAATTTCCCAAGCAACTTAAACTGTAACTGACCAAAATCCCATCAGCTTCAAAAGGCTATGAACTTTCCTAGTCAAACATGTCAAATGTGACTTTTTTTTAAGCTAAGGAGACATAATGTAAATTTTGTGGAACTTTTAATGTATTGCAAGAGAACACTAAGAACTCACACTAATTTTGGTTGTCAAAAGCAGAGGGAGGGGAGATTATGCTGAATGCCACTTGTAACAATGTAAAGAGCATTTATAGCAAAAGCAAAAGCAAACATATTTCCCAAATACCTAGTAAATTAAAGCTAAAATAAAAACACTCCAATGGGTTGATTCCACCTCTAATGTTCATGCAGATGCTGAAATTCCAAATCATCAGTTGTGGAAAGTGACTGAGAAATATCCCAAAGGAGGAAGATCTTGTTACCCTTAATAGTGACTGCAGCACTGTATTGTGGGTACAATTTGCCCAACCATCAGTGGGCCACTCTCAAATCAAACAGCAATGACCATCAACATTTAAGGTGTTTTCACAAAGGGGAACACAGAACTTCCCTCAGGTTTGCCTCTGAGGTCAGCTTCCTAAGTTGTCAACCTGTGAAGAATCACCAGAGGTCATTTCTGATGTGCTGAGAAAAACTAAATACCATCTTGACAAACTCAGTTTCATCTAGAGATTCACCCACCTACTAATGGCAGATTTTTGAAGCTGAGAAACGCCTAATTCGATCACCCAGTGGTGGGATCACTTTCATAGTTAAGTGTGTGTTTAAGATCATTGGTATTATGGCACGCTGGTCCAAGCTTTGTAAGAGTTCAAATATGTGCTAGAAAACAGTGTTCTTTGACTAAAATGTCCAAAGATTAAACCCTGAGAAAACCTACTTTTAGTTTCTAATCATTCGATCTGCTGTTCTTAGTGAATACCTATCATTGTGTCTCTAGTTTCCCTGTGACCAGGTGACAGAGAGATAGATGACAGACAGGTACATATGTGCGACATCATTATAATACCTACATAAATCCATGTGAATACAGGTGTGTACAGAGAAAGGGTCTCAAAAAGAATCCTCCTAAAACATATGTCCCAAGTCAAATATACCTATACAAATCTCAGAGCAGTCACACTAGTCAGTACAATTCTAGGAACTCAGTCACAACCATCTTTAGAACATCAATTCTTACCATTCTGCCTGGAATCCAACCAACTTAAGGGACAATTGTGACCGGAGTTATTGAGTTTTCAGTATGTGACTTCTAAGCAAATTTTTCCCCAAGAATGTTGACTGAAAATTACCAGAAAATGCTTAGAATATTGTTTTAAGTTTCAGTTCTGGTATATAAAACAGCAAAGTGACAAAATTATATTTCAAGAAAAAAAGCAAGGTTCCAATTTTTTTTTTACAAGTATTAGTGGCTATTTCTGTTGTTTCAAAACTTCCCATGCTACAGATAAGGCACACCCTCCACTACTGTGACTATTTGAGAAGCGCACATCTTTCCTCCACAAAGCTGTGTAGGAAACACATGCCTACGAACTTCCGTTAAACACTTCAGGATACTCTCTTTAAGGGCTAGCGTTTTATTTTTATTGTTCAAAGTGGACTAGGGGATGCAATCAATTGTGTCACTAGAACGTGGGCTACGGGTACCATGTCATACAGCACACAACTCTGTCAGCCCTGTGTGTCAGCCCACCTTGACATCACATCACCACACTAACTGGAGAACACAGAACACGGGAGGGTAGAGAGGCCAGAAAGGTGAGCATGTGGGGCTTCCTTCACTTCTGGGACACGTGGAGAACGACCGTGCGTGTAGTAAATGAACTTTCTATTAGGTTTTATCAAATGATGACTTACCTCCTCCACAAGTAAAACTGTCAGAAGTAAAGTCATATTATGCAATAAACCAGGTTTTGTTGACCATTCTTAGAAATATTACTTCTAAAATCCTTAAGAAGTTGGAGCATTCTTAATCAAAGACATGATAAAAAGCAATCTCGTCGATAAACAAAGAAAATCCTGTTTTAAAAAGAAACCGCTAAACCTCACCCCTACCTCACCGGAGAAAAGTGCATCCTAACGCTGATGCACGTATTTCCTAAGTATTCTAGACTGTCTACACATTTCATCAAAGACTAAATGATCACTTTGAAAACTGGGCCAGCCCAGGGGAAGATTTCTCATACAGCTATGTTGCTGAGCTTTTTTAAACACCCTAGCGAGCATACTGAGTCTTAGCCCAGAATGGGGAGCCCAGGGCGGGAAAGTTCCCGAGGGTCCCAGCCCTCCGCTAGGCTGTGCTCGCCGGGTCCCCGGCTGGAGCTCCCGGGTTCAAGGAGGCCCGTAGTAGCTCAGAGCGTCGGGCCACCCCGGAAAGCCGCGGCCCCGCCGGGAGCCTCCCCGGGGCGCTGGCTGCCGAGTCAGCCCGGTGCAGCCGCGGGGACCCGGGAGAGCCGCGCTCCGCGCCACCAGTCAGCCCGCCCGCCCGCCCGCCCGGGCTGCGCTCGCACCTCGCACAAAAGGCGCCGCGGCGGGAGCGCAGGGAGATGCCGGCCGCTGCCTCCTGGAACTTTGCGGACATCGCCCCGCAGATCCGCAGCTCCGAGCCCCTGGCGCAGGAGGAGGCCGAGGCGGCGGCGGAGAGTCGGGGCATCGCCCGGCAGTGCCTCCGCCTTGCCGGCTGCCGACGGCTCCCGCCCCCGGGTACCCAGCGCTTGCTCTTAAAGGCGCCCGCTGCCGGTTAGGCCGCGAGGTAAGGGAGAGGAGTGGAGTGGGGAGGAGGCAAGGAAAGGGGGAGGGGGCAGCCCAGACAGGATCCTAGGAGGCCACAGCAGTCAAAACTCAGACTCCTCCCACTCCAGGATCCCAAGTCACCTCACTCTACGCTCCTGAGCAAAGGCACTCTAAGGGAATAAGTGCTCAGAGCCTACACCGAGGACGCCTTGCTGCTGCTGGCCCGCCCAGGGAACCTCACTTTTGCTTGGACTGCCCACACCCTGTTAAGTTCTTGACCAAACACTCCATCTCTGCACCACACTAACCACTGCGCTAAGAGTCGCTGCCCAGTGGGACCTTTTTCCTCGAAAGAGTGTGCAACGTTCTTGGTGTTTCCTCCTCATTTCCTACGTTGTGATGAGGGTCTCACCCTGGAGCACTTTAAACTGAAGGCCAGCTTGGACCTTTATCTGGACCTCTGAAGGGGTCTTGACGTCTAGTGGCTAATATGCCTTGTATTGATCCATACTCTGTTCTTTCCAATAGCCACTTGCCAGGTGGCCTCAGACTGGATTGCCAGAAGCACTGGCTTTCATTATCATCAAACTGGACTCAGGAAGACGCTAAAGGAAAGACCCTCTTCAAATCTCAGCAATGCTGCTTCCAAGTGGTAGATGATACTGTTTTCCTAACCATCATCAACATTTGTGGCATACAGTGGAGGGCCCAGGACTCTCAGAGCATGGGTAGTTGCCCTGACCCCACAGCCGACCAGCATGAAGGACCATTCATTGAAAGCTGCTCTTCTGTCTCTTGGTTCCAACCCTTGCTTCTCAGTCCCGTGGGGCCACTCTGAGGTGGAAAGGAATAATGAGGCAATTAGGGGTTATGATCCAGCTTGGGCTCCAAAGCATCAGTCCCAGTGAAGGACTCCGAAGATGTGAGTGACATTTTCTAATCCAAAGGAGCTTGCACCCTATAGCCCTGACCTCAATCAACTCAGTTCTTCCCTTTGGAACACTGTAGAGTGTGGGGACTTCAGGCAAGAGGTGGAAGTATTTTTTGTTACCAGATGGAGAGGAACTAAGCCCCCGGTTTGGTAAAAAGCAGTAAAGGAGGTTAACACACAGCAAGAGTAAAGAGAATACCGTCATAAAATAGTCAGGCTAGTCGGATGTAATAACCAGGACCTAACACACAGTGACTTAAGAAGACCTTTAGTGCAGACTGTGGCATTTATTGGCTCACATATTTATAAAGGCTAATAAGTGAACTAGCCAGAAAAAAAAAACTTTTCAAATTTCCTTTTTAAAAATTTTTCCTCCGGATGTTTAAAGGGTGACTTAAGACTCAGTGTCTCTTCACATCTTGCCTGTGTTTTCGTTGTACTGATTCTGTTTTCTCTAAGCTGGAGCAAGAACTGTAGCTCCAAATGTACCTCCTCCCTCCTTCACAGCTGATGCCTTCAGCAAGTGAGCAAGCCAAGGAGCATTGGACCACTGGAAACCTGTGCATACTCTGAACGAGCCTTTGGAACCACAAGATGGAATGGACCTGCCAAGCTAGGGTCCTTTGCCTGTGTCTGGAAAAACCAAAACAAACAAACAAACAATGTCAAGGGAACTAGCTGTAGTATACCAGTTTCCATATACACCCAAATCACAGGGACTGCGTTGAGGATGTTCTCTAAAATTAAAGTGTTGCTGGTCAAAGGGTAAGTATATCGACTAGATGAACACCATAGATGTCCACTACAGCCCTCTTCCTCCAGCACCTACATAAACCACCATAGGTATTGATTGCCCCTGTGTTCTTTACCAATAATCTTAAGATTGGAAGAACAGGAATATTTATGGTCCTGGAGTCACAAGTTGCTGAAGTAGGTAGCCATGTCCTCAGTAGCCACTGGAAACATCCCCAGGGATGGGGAACAAACCGGGAACAAACTTTATCTGAAGCATTTTATTTTGTTATTTTCCCTTAAACTACCTTTGCCAACATACATCCCAACCTATGTTCATTGTTGGGTCTTGTATTTTTATGTCATCAATTTGACTACATAACAGTCTATAGGAATTTTTTTGCGAGTGTGTAGTCCTTAACTGGAATAAAATCCATGAACATTCACATTTTCAGTGTCCCAAGGACACAGGGCCCAACTTCATTTTTATACTTTAATAACTATTCTACTTTTTCCGGGCTAGAATGGAGGAGTTGATGTTTTCCTACTCAAAATGCCAGCTTGCAGGCTGGGGAGATGGCTCAGTGGGTTGAAGTGATTGCCACCCAAGCCTGATGACCTGAGTTTGATCCCCAGGACTGATGGTAGAACCAACTCCCAAAAAATTGTTCTCTGGCCACCAAACAGATGCCACAGCATGAATGAAGCCACACTCATGCACACGTAGAATGCAATAAAATTAAAATGTCGCCTTCCACTTGTTTCTTCCTACACATGAAACTTCCTAATCTTCACTGAGCTAAACCATTTTGTATTTTTCTTTCCATTTGTAAATGTTATAGAATTCCTTATGTGTCAAATCTATAAATCTAGAAGAGACTTTAAGGTAACCTAAAACTTCCCTTTCCTTTAAGAAATAATGAAAATCTCAACAGCTGGCTTGTTCAGGGCCACACGGCTGTTCTCAGTATCAGTTGTGTGCCTCCTTCTAAATGTACAGAAGCCCTAATGTAGAATGTGATCACAATCCTCATGAAATTAAATTTAGCTGAGAAGACATGACCCTCCAAGGCATAAACCAATTACCAAGCATCACAATGTATCGTATAATTTGGTGTAAAAACAAATGATGAGAGGAGAATGTTCCATCAGCAAAGTACTGGGCATGCATGCATGAATTCAGACCATCAGCACCCACATAAAAGCCAGGCATGGCAGGATGAGCCTAGATACAGTCAGAAGGTTTCCTGTGTCCCACTTGACCCGCAATCAGGACAAATCTCTCTCACCTGCCAGTTCCGCAGCCGCTGGGACCCAAGTGAACACACAGAGGCTTGTATTACTTACAAACTGTATGCCCATTGCAGGCTTTTGTTAGCTAGCTCTTATATCTTAAATCAACCCATTTTTGTAAATTTATACTTTGCCACATGGCTCGTGGCTTACCCGTACTTTTACATCTTGCTTCTCATGGTGGCGGCTGGCAGCATATCCTCTGCTTGGCCTTTCTCCTTCTTTCTCTCTAGTTAGAATGTCCCGCCTAACCTTATTCTGCCTCACCATAAACCAAACAGCTTTACTTATCAACCAATCAGAGAAACATATTTTCATAGCATACAGAAAGACATCCCACATCACCTAGAACTCCAGCCCTGGAGAGCAGAAACAGGAGGATCCCTGGAACTCACCAGTCAGCCGCTCTAAATGAACCAGTGATCTCCAGGTTCAGTAGGACACCCTATTTCAACAATAAGGTAGAGAATGATTAAGAGTCCGGACATTGACTTCGGCCTCCATGTACACATCCACACATGTGCACACACTCAGACACATTCATACATGTATAATAAGCTCCATGTGTTAAGAATAGGTATCAGAATAAACACTATGGATGGGAGTCATCTTGGAAGTGTTTGTTTGTTGGTTTTTTGTTTGTTTGTTTGTTTGTTTTATCAAGGAAGCAATTTGGTGGCCTTTAAAGACATACAAAGACAAAAGGAAAGTATGGTGATATTTTATTTGTGCTGAAATGTGATTTTTATTTGTATGTTAATAAATAAAGTTGCCTGGGAGTCAGAGCTAATAGCAAGCCATTCAGCAGAGGTCTGGCAGTGGTAGAACACGCCCTTAATCCAATCACATGGAAGGCAGAGTCTGCGTGTTCAAGGACATAGCCAGCTTGGAGACACACGCCTTTAATCTCAATACCAACCATAGAGACCTGGAGGTCTGTATAGAGAGGCACTGACAAGGAGGTCATGTGGTTGGATTTACAACCAATGAGAAGGCAGAACAGAAAGTCAATAAAAAGACACACAGGAAGTAGGTCTCTTTCTGAAGAGAAGGAAGACAGCAACAGGGAGGGATAAGAAGGCGGTCTTGGTCTTAGCTCTTGGCTGCTGCTCGATCTCTGGGCTTTTAACTCTGCATTTGGTTCTGTGTTTCTTATTTAATAACACCGTTCAGAATTACATCTACAGGAAAGGCCAAGTGAGAATAAAATGAGAAGTTCTTGGTGGGAAAAAGATATTGCAAAAAGATATTTGTTGGAGTAGAAAAGAAGCCAGGATTTTCAAGGCTTAGAAAAATATCTCTGATAGTTCTGAAATCATTCACCAGATATAAACCACTGTCATTTTCTGTTTGTGTTTGGAGCAGGGCACAGACTGGGAATCTCACAGAGTACATCATGTGCTAAGCAAGTGCTCTACCACAAGGGAGCACCAATAGACTCCACCGTTATTGTGTTAATTAGACAAAATTAAAACCTGTGTACTATTTATTATTTTTTTAAAAATATTGTTTGTTAGTACTTTCTATCATGTATGTTTGGAGTTATGTAAATTCTGTCTTATTTTCAGTCATGTTCAAAATAAGTTCAAAAGCCTTGTTTCTGAAGACAAATAGATATGAAACTACTTTTGTGGCAAGATATTAAGCAAATAGTGTCTTTCAAGGAATCAGTTTTTCACTGGGTAAGGCAGCACATAGCTATGGTCCTAGTGATTAGAAGGCTGATACAGAAGGATCGTGAGTTCTACAACAGTTGGAGCCCTTGTCTCAAAGGAAAAAAAAAGAAAATCTCCATATGGACCTGACATTTACAGCACAGTCAGGTATACATGGTAAGGCCTATAAATAAATGGTTGTTCCAATTTGCTGGCTAAGTTGAAAATTTTCAATACTGACTCTGCATTAGAATTACCCAAAAGCTTATTAAAATTAGCACCTGGAGCCCACCCTCAGTGATGCTGGACAGAGGTAAAACAGGAGCTCCCTGGAGATTCAGATTCACTATCA